ATAATGCCATAAAAAGTGACACACAAGCCGAAATTGGTTTGGCTCAGTGGATAGAGAGTCAGCCTGCGGACTGAAGGGTCCCGGGTTCGATTCCAGTCAAGAGCATGTACCTTGGTTGTGGGTACATCCCCAGTGGGGGTGTGCAGGAGGTAGCTGATGGATGATTCTCTCATTGATTTTTCTAACTCTCTATCCCTCTCTCTTCATCTCCATAAAAAAATCAATAAAATATATATTTTTTAAAAAGTGACACACATGATCTTCATGGAGACACATGTTAGAGTAAAAAACTCAGGTTTGCCTTGAATTGTTTTGTTGTTGTTTTCCAAGAGGCACCAAGAGCAAATATCTTCATGATTTGCAATTTTTAATGTTAAGGAATGGATGTGATCAATAAAAAGGTTTGGCTCAGTGGATAGAGTGTTGGCCTGAGGACTGAAAAGTTCCAGGTTCAATTCCGGTCACCAGCATGTACCTTGGTTGTGGGCACATCCCCAGTAGGAGGTGGGAGGAGGTGGCTGATAGATGTTTCTAATTCTCTGTCCCTCTCCCTTCCTCTCTGTAAAAAATCAAAATATATTAACATGTTGCTATCAGGTCACATGTTAAAGAAGAAATCCTTCAAATTCTCTAAATTTTGAGTTTTAAAAAGCACTGAATTAAAAAATATATAAACAACTTCTATTCAGTTACTACATACCTCTTGCCCTCAAGAAAAAGGCAAAAAAGGAATAGGCCTCAATAAAAAGCATCCCAACAATTCAAATGACTTCACAGTTCTACAAGAACCAGCATCTCTGCCTCTTGAAACATCTCTGTTAAGTTTCTTCAATTACACCTGAATATATTCTGACTGAAATAGGAAGTTATTTCTCTCCCAAATATTTAGGAGTGTATTATTAAAAATATTAACTTGCATCCAGATAGTGGTCTCAGTTATTAACATAAATAAGCACCTGAGCTGTATGTGGTAAAAATGCAATGTCCAGGGTTCTATCCTCTTGAAGGTCTGACTCAGTAGCTCTAGGATGCCAATCCCTGCAAAGTATATTTTGAATAAACATACTAGGCAGCTTCTGCCATAGGTGATCCTCTTCTCACCATCAGAAAAAAACATAGTACGGCCGAAATCAGTTTGGCTCAGTGGATAGAGCATCGGCCTGTAGATTGAAAGGTTCCAGGTTCCATTCCGGTCATGAGCATGTACTTTGGTTGCGGGCACATCCCAGTACGGGGCATGTAGGAGGCAGCCAATCGATGTTTCTCTTTCATCGATGTTTCTAATTCTCTATCCCTCTCTTTTCCCCTCTGTAAAAAAATCAATAAAATATACTTAAAAAGAAAAAAAACAGTGCAGAAGGCTCACCTGCCTCACCTCCCAGGACCAAGCTGGAGAAAATATTTCTGACATAACAGCTTAGATTCCCATCTGGAAACCCAGAGACAAAGGGACCCTTTACTAACTGTGCTCCACTATCTCACTAGACACTCAGAGATCTGTCACAGTTTTTTCTTTTTCATAAGGACAATACACAAGACAGCAAAAATGATGCTATATCCCCAATGAAGACCCAAAATGACGGAGCAGCCCAAGGCATCTATTAGGAGAACCCAGAGTATATTTTTGTTCTGAGGATTTTTTAAAAATTGATTTTAGAGAGGAAGGGAGAGAGGGAGGTGGAGAGATTGAGAGAGAGAACAACATCTATCTGTTGCTCCATTTATAGCCATATGTTCATTGGTTGATGCCTGAATGTGTCTGGGGATTGAACCCGAAACCTTAGCATATAGGAACAAGGCACTAACCAATTGAACAATCCAGACTGGGAGCTCCGAGGATTCTTAAAGAACCCCAAACCAGGCTGACTTTGAACTTTTACTAATAGCCTCTGGTGAAAGCTTCTGGAGGGCAAATATCTTTCTCTGATTCTTTGACAGCCTGGGACAGTGCTGAACAGACAGACAGACTGAAGGCACTGGTGCCTCTCTTAGGATGTGCAGGGAAAGGGAGTTCCCATCTGATAAAAGAAGGTCAATGAGTGGCGAAGAGGAGGAAGCTTTAGTACAGCTTCTGGGTGGGAGGGCTCAGTGGTTGAGAGTAGACCTATGAACCAGGAGGTGATTGTTAGATTCCCGGTCAGGGCATATGCCTGCTTTTCAGATTCAATCCCCTGGAGGGGCACCGACCACAGGCAACTAATTGATACTTCTCTCTCATACCTCTCTCTTTCTCCCCCTTCTTCATGTCCTCAGGTGATGATAAAAAAATAAAAATAATGGCCCAGCTGGCTTGGCTCCCTGTTGAAGCATTGACCTATGAACCTATGAACAGTTCAATTCATGTCAGACACAGGCCCTGGGTGTCAGCTTGATCTCTAGTGCCGGGAGTGCAGGAGGAAGTCTATCCATGATTCTTTCTCATCATTGATGTTTCTAGCTCTCTCTCCTTCACGCTTGCTCTCTGAAATCAATAAAATATATATTTAAATGTATTAGGTATTACTTGCACATTTCATGCTAATTTCTTTTTACAAATAGATAGTTGGGTTTAAAATTGCAATCCCCTCCAACTCCAATTCCTATTTCAGAAAAGTTCTGTGTGCATCTGCCTCCACTCATTTCATTTATCAGATTCTGTGGGAAATCACTCAAGACAGAATAATTAAAATAATTTGCTTAGTTTATTCATCATCAAAACAGGTATCTTAAGAGTGCTTTCCAAAGGAAGCCCTGAATAATCTTTATAATTGGTGTACCAATTTTCTGTAATCAATGTTATTTACAAACATAAATTGTAGCAACATGAAAAATGGCCATAAAGTTTGCAATATGAAAACTTTAAAGACAAACAGATTATGTTGGTAGAGGAAAGAGTATAAGCCTTGTTGTCATGCAGATCTGGGTCCAAGTTCCAACTCTACCACTTACAAGTTGTGTAAATCTCGATAAGTTACTTCTTCAATTTTCCCTTTCTTCATAAGTAAAATGGGAAAAATGATACCAACTTCATAAGTTAAAAACATGACAATGTAAATAAACCACCTAATTAAATGGTCAGTTTACCGTAAGCACTATGTAAATGGTATCTGATGCTATCATTTAAAATATCTGAATTTCTACATTGGAAAATAGTAAAAAAAGAAAAAAGGGTTCTAATTCTAAGCGTTGGTATAAAATGATCAACCAGCCTAGCCAGCATGACTCACTGGTTGAGCTTCGATTTATGAACCAGGAGGTCACAGTTAGATTCCTGGTCAGGGTACATGCCTGGGTTGCAGGCTCCATCCCCAGTGTGGGGCGTGAAAGAGTAACCAATCCATGATCCTCTCTCATCATTGAAGTTTCTATCTCTCTCCCCCTCTCCCTTCCTTTCTGAAATCAATAAAATACGTATTTTTAGAAAAACAAAATTATAACCAAGTTTTACAGTCATAATTTTTTTTTTCCTCTTGGCTGCCATGGCTCAATGGTTGAGCATTTGTCTATGAACCAGGAGGTAACGGTTCTATTCCCAGTCAGGGCACATGCCTGGGTTGCTGGCTCAATCTCCAGATAGTCAATAAAACAAATTTTTAAAAATTTTTTTTTTATTTTTTATTTTTTTTAAAAAAAATTTTTAAAGAATATATATTTTTATATTTTTATAAATTTCAGGAGCCTTTTAGTGAGAATATTTTCAACTTAGTTTTCAATTCCCATCCCAAAACAGTTCTGATAGTTCTCCACAGGCCTTATACTTCTCCACTCTCATTCCACCATTTTCAAAACAGCTCTCCTTTATTCAACCTATCTCCTGCCCCTCCTCTTAAAGTCTTCCTATTTCATGCTCCAATGTTTTAGTCCTAAGATCTCTGGCCTACTACAAAAGACCCACAAATCATCTATACAAAACCAACACTCTTACAAATACTTTATCCTTATAATAGCCCAAGTTGATATACAAGGTCGAAGTTATATCTAGATTTTACATTTACGACCCAAGATACATTGCTAGAAAACAGCATAGTCCAGCCTAGAACTCAAATTTTCAGGTTCCAAGTTCAGCACTTTTCCCAACTCAACTTATAAAGCTATTACTTCTTGCATATTTTCTTTATATCATTTATTCACAAAACATAGGGGAAAACCCTCTTTGTATCTCCTGGTATCACAACAGTACTGCTACAAAGACAGCTTCCTCCGACAGTATTTTCAAACGATCCCAACCATTAACACCAAAAGTTGCTTTCAATAGTTCCTGCAAAATCTTCAACTAAGGAAGAACGCTGGATGCTGTATGAAAATGGCCAAGAGGCCCCGGCCACAGTCCCTCCACATCGCCCTATATTTCTCCACCTCTGCTCTCTTTCCTCCTCCTGAGAGTTTTCTTCAATCTGACATCTCATCAGGGGTCCTTCTCAACCTCGAACGACCCTAGTTGCCAAATGCGAAATCCGTGCGCGCAGCTAAGTCTCCCACGCCGAGCACCGCGGAGGTTCCCTGGGACATTTAGGATGTCGTCCCTTTACTCCGTCCACACACCTGTCTGAAAAACTTCATCTCCCAGAGCCCGCACCTTCGTCGCCATCCCATCCCCAAAGCTCCACGCTCACCCCTTGCACCTCCTCCCAAACCTCCAGCCTCCCGGGTTGGCGGGCGATACTTCCTATCTCTCCTGGACCAGATCGCCTGGACTGCAGCCCGCCGCCCCGATCTGGACCCAGCAGACCACGGTCCCCTCCGGTCCCCCGAGCCCGAGGCCCACCGGCCCGATCCCCCTGCCCCGCCTCCCCGCCCAAGGCGCCAAGTACTGGGGCTCCTTCTCCAGGCCCCGGCCGGGCTCCGAGGGCCCCGGGAGCTGCGGGGAGCATAGGGAGGAGGAGGCAGCAGCCGTCAGGGCACCGGGCGGGCCGGGCGCTAGGGACGGGTGACCCCGGGCCCGGCCCGCTCCCAGCTCCCGTGGCACGGGCTCAGCCCGCCCGCCCGCTCCGCCGGCCCGCGCCTTCGCGGCCTGCCCTCACCTGATCCAGGTTTTCGTCGCTGCCGCTGTCCTCCGTGTCCGAGTCGATCACCACACGGCCTTTCCGCTTCTTCACCATGGTGGTCCCCCGGCTCCCACGCCGGACGCCGCCCGGACTCCCCTCTAGCCCGTCAGCCAGTGGGACAGCCACTGCCACAGCCACCGCCGCCGCTGCCGCTGCTCGACCCACACAAAGGCGACCGCGCATGCGCGCTCCGCTCCGCCCCTGGCCCCGCCCCCCGCCCGGCGCACGCCGTTCGCCGGCTCCGGGCGCCCCTCCCTGTCCCGCCCCCGACGTAGCGTGAGGGGCGGGGCCAGCACCCGGCTCGGTTCCGGGCAGTGGACCGCTTTCTCGCACCCCGCGCCAGGCCCCGGGAAGTCTTGGTTGTGTTTCCGCCGCGGGACACAAGTTTGTTGGGAAGCTTACCTGTCGTGGACTGGAGCCGCAAAGCACCCGGATCCTCTCTGAGGAGCCTTTCAACAGCCCGCCACTGATGAAGTGGCGAGGGCGACGTCAGGGGCTGTCCTCCTGAGAGACACCAGTCTCCTGGACCTCCGCTGAGGGCTCCCGCTGGGACAGGAAGCTTTGCACACCAGGTTGTGCAAGTGACAACCGAGCTGGGACCTGGAGGATGCATCTGAGTTACCCAGAACAACAGTAGAGGGAAGGGTGTGCTTAGCAGAGAACCGCGTGGGCAAAAGCCGTGATAATAGAGAAAAAGTTAGGTTCAGGGAACTGAAAGTTTATGATGGCGGGAACAGATGGCATGGAGTGTGGGAATAAGGCGGAGGAAGGACCCAGCGGCTACATGCAGAGTCTAATAAGCTAAAGTATTGGAAGATTTAAACGGAAGAACGACATGATTAGATTTGTGTTTTAAAGAGATTACTCTGCTCCCCCAGTGTGGTGAATGCATTAGAAGGCAGGGAGACGCCGAAACCGGTTCGCCTCAGTGGATAGAGCGTTGATCTGCGGACTGAAAGGTCCCGGGTTCTATTCCAATCAAGGGCATGTACATTGGTTGTGGGTACATCCTCAGTGGGGGGTGTGTAGGAGGCAGCTGATCGATGTTTTGTTTTTATAATATATTTTATTGATTTTACACAGAGAGAAATTGAGAGGGACAGAGGGTTAGAAACGTCGATGAGAGAGAAACATCGACCAGCTGCCTTTTACACCCTCCTCTGGCCCCCTCCCGGATGTGCCCGCAACCAATGTACATGCCCTTGACCGGAATCGAACCCGGGACCCTCCAGTCTGCAGGCCAAAGCTCTATCCACTGAGCCAAACCGGTTTCGCCTGATCGATGTTTCTCTCTGTCCCTCTCCCTTTCTCTCTGTAAAAAGTCAATAAAATATATATTAAAAAAAAAAAGGCACGGAGACTATATAAGCTGTTGGTGTCATTTTAGCAAGAGATGATGGTGTCCTAAACGAAGGAAGAAGCAGTAGAAATGGACGGATGATTTGGAAGTTAGAATTACCAGGTCTTGGAGACTAGTTGGGAAAGGAGTCAAGTCAGGTCGCAGAAAAAAATGACGCTCAGGTTCGGGCATAGGAAGCTGGTGGTAGGTGGGCCCTTCATCAAGATCAGCAACACATGTGGGAGGAGGTTTCAGAAACTGCTGTTATGGGAAATAAGTTCAGTTTCATGCCCGTTGAGTTTGAGGTCAGCTGATTAAAAGGGCAGCTCCAGAAGTGCTTTCTTTGTGGGATTTGGCATATAGGGTGCATAAGCAATAACAACTTGACATCTTCTAAAAACTTTGTGGAGTCCATTCATTCATTATTCTGGTAGTGAACTTGGGAATGAGGCCACAGCCTTCCCTAGCCATTACTGAGCAGAGGCAGGCTGATGAGTTCTTGGTCTCTGGCTCACTTTTTCTGTCTAAATTTTATTTTCTACAACAGGTTTACAGTACATATCACAAATGTACACACCTTAAAATAATAATAAAACATACATAGAGACCTGAACTAAATACATACCTAGATGTCCAATTTGCTACCAGTTATTTTAAAAAGGTGTTTAGGATTCAGGTAGAAAAAAACAACAATAAGGCTCACCTACCGCTTTATTCCAAAAGAGTTGTTCTAAGATATAACCCCTACACTTCTGTCTCCCAGCATATCCTTGGACTGACACCACGGACAAGAAGACCCAAAATGACCAGGCTAGCTCCTCCATTTCTAGCCAGCCAAAGCCCGGTGCCCTTCGGTGAGGTGGACTTCTCCTTTTGGTGGCCCAACCATATCTTTTTTATTTTTAATCCTTACCGAGGATATTTTTCCATTGATTTTTAGAGAGAGTGGAGGAAAGAGGGAAAGACAGAAATATCCATCTGAGAGAAACACATCAAATGGTTGCCTCCTGCATGTGCCCACTCCAGGGCCCAGCTCGGACCAGGGAGGAGCCTGCAACCCAAGTATGTGCCCTTGAGGTAATCAAACCCAGGACCCAACGCTCTATTCACTGAGACAAACCAGCTAGGACCCAACAATCTCTTAATGAGTTCAGGGTCTAAAAAGTTGCTCAGATCCAAAATTTGGCAAAGGGTGGTCACTTTTTATTGGGACAAGTGCCCTCAGCCCTCTTATCACCTTTTAAAAAAAAAATATTTTTTTTATTGATTCTTTCCAGAGAGGAAGAGAGAGCTAGAAACATCGATGAGAGAGAAACATAACATGAGAGAGAAACGTCAATCAGCTGCCTCCCACATGCCCCTCTCTGGCCCTCCACTGGGGATGTGCCTGCAACCAAGGCACACACCCTTGACCAGAATCGCACCTGGGACCCTTCAGTTCACAAGCCGATGCTCTATCCATTGAGCCAAACTGGTTTTGATCCTCTTATCACCTTCTGATTGAAGGTTGAGGAGTACCCTTGTTGGCTTCCCATCTATTTTGCCAATGGGGATGCTTATTGTGTTCTGTTAGCCATTTCCATAATTCTCTGGGGCCTCCTTGGCTATAACTCTGACCTATCTACTCATAATTGCATCTACCTGGCTTCCGGCAGTTATGTACTGCCACCTGGCCTCTTGTTTCAAAATCCTATCGCCCCATCCTATTAGCTGAGTTTTATAACAGCCTCACCTATTGCAATATATTAAACTTATAGTGATACTGGTGCGCCTGTTATTATCACACTAGAGGCTCGATGCCCAAAAATTAGTGCATTGGGGGGAGAGTGCGGGGGGGGGGCGTCCCTCAATCTGTCCTGTTCCCTCTCACAGTCTTGGAACCCTCAGGAGATATCCTACTGATGGCCTAGGCCCGCTCCCTCTGCTGGAGGCGACAGGGCAGTTCAGGGGAAGGGGCCGTCCCCGTCACCCCGTAGCTGCTGCTGCCACTGCCAATGGCCATGGCTACAAGGCCTGAGCCCTGGGCCTCACAGCCGCGGAGCCGCTGTGGCTTTGTCCAATAGGAAGTCCGGAAGACGTCTGGAAGGCATGTGGTCTAATTAGCATATTACCTTTTATTAGTATAGATTCCTTATGGCCTTGGTAAATGGAGTATTCTTTTGGCCTTCCCATGGAACATAATAATTTGGTGGGATTTCTGACCTTAGATAGTACATCCAGTTTGTTGTGCTCACTTTTCAGCTTTTTTCTTTTTTAGATATATTTTTATTGATTTCAGAGAGGAAGGGAGAGATAGAAAGAGACAGAAACATCAAATGATGAGAGAGAATCAGTGACCGGCTGCCTCTTGCATGCCCCCTACTGGGGATGGAGTCTGCAACCTGGGCATGTGCCCTGACCAGGTCCCCTTGATCAAGCACCCTCGGAATCCAGTGTCTTGCTATTCTCCCAACTGTTGCCACTACATGCTTAGCTAGTTCTTGCAGCTCCTTAGTGGGATAGTTCCTTTTCCCCCTTATCTGGTCCAGTGTGTTCCCCACTGGGTTAGGTAGTGTTTTAATCCTAGTAATTGGCCTGTGTCCAGGAGGACGGTAAGGGCAGATGTTGAGGAGGGCACATGCATTCTTACAGGGTACAGGTCTCTTCACTGTCTGATAACAAGATTGAGCCATTTCTTCAGGTTTCGAGGATTCAGGGAAGTATGAGAATTCAAGATCTTCAGTGGCATCAGTCAGATAGCCCCATCCCAAATGTCATGGTTGCATTACTAGGGCCTAGGTCTTGGCTTAGCTGATAGGCCTGGCTTGGGAGTATAATCTTATTGGAGTTGAGACTACTCTGATGATTATCCTGGGCCTCAGCCTTTCCTGCCCTCCTACTGTGGATATAGAACCCCTCTTCATATGCTATTAGGGTGCCCTCTGGCTTTCATACTTGACTTTCAGTAACCATGGCCAAATTCCATATTATACTAGTAGTTACTACTAAAGGCCCCATCTTGCACAGGTGGGGTCCCTTTGGGTGGCCTGTGGAGATTGGGCCCCAGCTCACGCCCCCAGCCTTGCAGCCCCACATCCCCACCTGGTACCCTGCCTTGGTCTGGCACTGCCCCCTCACGTGCTCCACCATCTAGTCTAAGGGGCGATTGATTGGGGCCTGCCACCCAGCTCCCTCAGTGCCGCTGCTGGTCACCGTCTGCAGGGCTATTGGCAGGGCCATCAGGCCCTTCTTGCACCTGCCTTGGCCTGGTGCCACCTGCTCACCTGCTCCACCATCCTGCAGTGGGACCACTCTTGTCCGGACCCATCAGGGCCAGCAGTATCTCCTCTGCCAACCGCGGCCAGCATCGCGTCACCGACACCTGCCATGTTCCCAGCCGCCCCCTGGTGGTCAGCGCACATCATAGTACAAGGTTGAATGACTGCCTGAGGGGATAATTTGCATATTAGGCTGCCCTTCCATATTTTTTAAATGCCTGATACACACCACCAGCTGGTACATTCCCTTCCACCAGCAAACTATCCCTCTTTACTGATAATGAAATATTTTAAAAAATATATATATTTTATTGATTTTTTACAGAGAGGAAGGGAGAGAGATACAGAATTAGAAACATTGATGAGAGAGGGTCATCGATCAGCTGCCTCTTGCACACCCCCTACTGGGGATATGCCCGTAACCAAGGTACATGCCCTTGACCGGAATCGAACCCGGGACCCTTCAGTCCCCAAGCCGACGCTCTATCCATTGAGCCAAACTGGTCCCGGCTGATAATGAAATATTTAACAACCAGACCACCAGATCTTTGTTGCCAGCTGTGTGGTAGGTAACCCAACTTCTAAAC